ACAAGTCTGAGGTTAGATTGACCTAATTGCTCCCTGGGCATGGGGCCCCTGTCCCCATCTTGCTTTGGCCTTATCTCACTTGGCTTCTCTGGCAAGAGCCTGAGGCAGGTTCCAGCTGACCTCCTGCCAGGAAGCATTGCCTGCCTGATAGAGGCCAGCTCCATCTCCCCCTGGGAAAGGCCTCTGGGTGTCCACTCTGGCTCTGGCATGTGGTCTCAACCTTGGATACAGAAGGTGCTTTCCCATTTGGCTTCAGGCCTCAGGCCTCAGGCCTCCTGGCCTTGGGCCTGTTGGCTCCCCCATCAACTCCCACTCCTCGAGGCCTTGGTGGCTCCAGCCTCAGCAAGCCCTGCCCTCTTCCTTGTTGAGGTGCTCCAATGACTAGCTCTGTGGAAGCTTCTGGAAGGGGAGCTAGATGGTCTGATACATTAACCAAGTGGCTGCTAAAACTCAGGTTCACCTCACCATTGTAAATTGGCTTCTAAGCCAAAGCTTTCAGGGGCCGTGGCCTCCATGGCAGGCGATTTGGACCCTGAGGCCATTTTGTGGCCAGCAGCAGAAGACATCCATCCTCTTTCTGGCCTAGGGCTCAGAAAGGAAGACTCTGAAGCTCTGCCCCATTTCTTTGGTGACTTATAGGGGTCCTCCCTAATTCTCTGGAGAGGCAGCTTTTTCTCTGTCATTTCAGGTTTATGATAAAATTTTATGCACATCCTCAGGGCCACAGAAAGTAGGAAAGAGCATGTTTTTAGTATCTTTTGGTCACAGTGACTATCTTGGATCTTCTAAAGGAGTGAAAGAGTTATGAACACCTGTTTTGCCACATCTGAAGTTGACACATTCCAAGGCTAAGGAATTCTTAGATCTTGATGTTCTCTGGCTTCCATACCTGTAGTCCCTCTAGGACTGCTTGTATCTAGCACCTTCCACCTGTCCTGACATAGTAGAGCAGAGCTGCAGACAGGCCCAGCCCTGGACAGAGGACCCATGTGATCCTTCCTACTGTAGCCTGGGTGCTTGGTATGCAGAGTGAAGGGGTGTCCAGGTGCTCACAGGCTCCACTCACTGTGCTCTGGGAGCCAACAATGCAGAGGTGTCCTGTGGCTCCTCCCACAGAGGATGCCAGGGGGAGGTGCCTCCCTTGGAGAAGTGCCAGCCAGATCCAGCTCCCAGGGTTAGTCTGGATGCTGACTCTAGGCAGCTTGTGCAGGCCCAGTGAGTTACCTGATGACACAAGAGTCACCTGTCCCTCTACACTCCCCCACCCCTCTCATCTGGCCCTAGGAATTACACTGAACCCAAACCTCTGGGCTTCCCTACCTACGTTGGAGAGCCTTGTGGCTCAGTAGAGGGAGAACTGCAGGAGTAGACAATGTAGGGTCTCCTCTGCCAACTGACCCCCCTCAGATGATCATGTCACCACTCAGGCATGCCACAGAGTCTGTCCATCCAATGAAGAAGGAATGCTCACCACTGGCTAGTGTTTGGGGTGCTTTGAGATTCTTGCTTGAAAGGGTCAATAGAAACAGTGAGTACAGTCATCCCTTTGTTGTGCACGCACAGCACCCAGACGTCTCTCCCAACACACACAGGTGCAGCCAGGCCAGCACAGAGAACAGTTCTCACCTCATCCAGTGCTAAATGGCTCAGCACTTCTGCCCACCTTGGTGTAGATAGGTGAATCAGGGTCATACCCCAGACTGCCATCTCTCCCATCTGGCAACACAGTGATGTTAGGATGTAAGTCAAAAGGCCAATGCTACCGTGCAAATCGATACTCCCAGATGTTCCTCACTGCAAATCTAATGTTCTTAGAACAGAGAACCATAGACTGCAGTGCCCATTGTGCACGGAAGCCACAGAAGTGTCACTGAGGTGGGGGAAAAGAATAGCTGGGAGATCCCAAGGCACAGGATTGTCCACCCTGCCACCATTACTATGTGACTTTAGGGCAAATCCTTTAGGGCAAATCCCTCCTTATATTCCTCATCTATCAAGTGAGGGGACTGAATTAGACAACCAGTCTCTAGAACTCCATCAGGAGACTGCGGTGTAACTCAGTTCCCACAACAGAGAACCAAAGTTCAGACCAGACTCCCAGAAAGTTAGCATTATACCTGGTTTCCATCACAGGACACGTATTGCAGGGTACCTCTTATCCCTGTTTGACTGGGACAGTCTTGATTTATTCCTGCTGTTCCTCTATCACTACTAGTAGTGCCCTTTCACTCTCAAAAGTGTGCCAATTTAGATGTTATCTTAAATGGCTACCCTGTGAACTATGGTGTAGTGAAAGAGATTTCCCTTCCTTCTCACATTTGGCCTTCTCTCTGTAAGTCAAAGGAGGGATTTGACTGCTCAAAGAACAGCTTTTGCTGAGTTGTGGTCTTCCATTGACAAAAATCAGATGATCTCCTGCATCATCTCCTGCCCTAGCCAAAGTACTATATGAAAAAGTTCTTGGGCTGGCAGAGGGGCTCAAGTGGTAGAGTGCCTGCCTAGGAAGCATGAGGCCCTGAGTTCAAACCCCAGTACCACCACCAAAAAAAAGAGAAAGTTCTTTTCCATAAACTCTGCTTCTTTCGAAGAGCTTAGACCTCTCTTCTTCTCTGGCTGTAAGCACTCTGCAATGGACCACATCTTGCTTTTCTCCTTGATTGCCAAGAAGCTCAGATAAAAACATATAGCAGCATATAGTTTGATTGATTCAGTAGTGTTCTTTTTATCCCACCAACCCTAACTTTCTGCCCCATTTATATTTCTTTGCTCTGATTTGTTGTTCTCATTTACAGGTTTCTTGTATATCTAGTTTGTTCTTCTATAAATATGTTTTGTTATAATCCTTACACTGAATTCTTTGTGAATCAAGATTTAAAAATCAGAAAAGAAGTAAACTTTTAGGGTATTATTTTTAGCTAAAAGATGGAGTCATCTGCCCCTCCATAGCATGTCACAAGTCTGAAATCCTGCCATTTGAGAGACAAATTGTTGAATTGCATAGATTTGTGAATCTTCTGAGCACTCTGTAAGAGTGCAGTGAGTTGGTTATTCAAGCCCCTGCCAGCAAGACGAGGGCATGAAAGGAGCGTGGGGTCAGTATGCTAAGGACAGTATATGCTCACAGGAAAAGAGAAAAGCACAGAAACACTGGCTTCACTCAGGATGGGGAAGTGGAGTTCCTGAGAAAGGGCTGAGTGACAAATTGCCTTGATAGTATGCTGACACTGCCTCTTAGAAACCTGGGACCTTTCCAGGTGTGGTGGCACACTCAGAAGGTGGAGGCAGGAGGATCCCAAGTTCAAGGCCAGCCTGAGCTACGTAATGAGACCCTGTCTCAATAAAACAAGAGCTGGGAGTGTAGCTCAGTAGTAGAGCAATTGCCTAGCCTGTACAGGTTCTGGGTGGGATCCCTGGCACTACAAAAACAAGGACCTAGGGCCTTGGTAGGCTACCTGCTCTCTGTGGACCTCAGTTTTCTCAACTGGAAAGTCAGGAGGTTGGGCAAGACTGTCACAGTGATGTCTAGTTTTGATCACACCTCTGGGGAGAAGGTCCCAAGGATGCCTTAGAACTCAGAGAACCCAGATGATGTGGCATCCAGCTGGCTGAGAGATGTACACACAGGGGTCCACTCAGACCAGGTACCAGCCTTGTTCCCCATCTTGGCAAGGACTCCTTGTCAAGGAGCTACTTCTAGGGCCTTCCTGGTACCAAAGGAACAAGAAAAGGCTGCAAAGCTGGAGGTACCTTCCAGAAGGATCTTCCTGTGCATTGTTTGGGTCAATGTGATGACCATAGCCATGTCCAAGTGTGAATTCCCATGGGCTGTGGTATGGTTTTCAGCTTTGCCCTTAAACACAGGCTGGCAGACCAGGCTAGCAAGGGGAAATAAAGATGAATAATGTCTCTTGGGGACATTTTCAGATCCAGGGCCAGAGAGAAAGACTAATGCAAAATAATCTACCCTTGGAAAACTCACCCTGAACACCCACAGGCCTTCTTCCTGCTCTGGCCTTAGCACCATCTGCAGTTCATCCACCAGAGTCCACATCCATTGCCTTATCCAACCCCACTGTGGCCCCCAGGTACAGCAGAGGCAGGACTTACTGTTGCCCATTTCACAGGTTAGGCAGCAGAGACTTGATGAGCTCAAGCTCCCTTGGAATGGGTCAGAAGGGAACAAGAGCCCAGGCCTCCAGTCTTGACTGCCCTGCACTTCCAGAGCCTGCCCTGCTTCTGGCCTCCAATGTCCCACATAGCCAGTGTCAGAAACAGACATTTGCTGCAGAGGCCAGTGAGGCTAGGACAGGCAGTACTGGGGTGCAGGGAGCTTGGGTGCTGCATCTGGTTAACATTCTCTTATTAACCTTTTAGGGGTCTCACTAGTTTTGACTCTGAGCCCCAGTTGCCCAGGCTGTAGCATGTCACAGTAACTCTCTTCTCTTGTGTATGTGTGTGTGTGTATGTTTCTCTGTATGTGCTTTTGTTCCATAGAAGAGTGTGACTTCTCCTCTGGGGCCTTTGATCTCCAACACAGAACTAAAGGGGAGAAGAGGCCAGGACGGAGCCTCTCCCAGAATCCAGTGTGACACCTCTTGTGCCAGGACCAGGGATGACTGGGCCATGGACACAGACGTCTCCAGCATTCAGCCATTTGCATAGCACACGGGGGACTTGTGGGGGCCACTTGCCACTGCCAACTGAAACAATACAATGGCAATGCTGACATCCTTCATGACGTCACTACAGACATTCAGGCAGGAAGCACTGGCGTGCTTTCTGTCTGTGAAGTAGACAGCCATGCCTCACCAGTATGAATACCTTGGGCCCCAATGACGTGCTCTGAGTCCACTAGCAGCCAGTGACACTTGCAGATAAATAAAAAACAACAAAACAAAACAAAAGCTCCCAAAGTTGTCTTGGGGTCCGTTTCCACAGCTCTTGACCCATGTGGCCAAAGCTGGACAGCTCCTTGGGACACTTGGATTATTCATAAATGCAACCTGCCCCGACCCTTCCTAAGTAGTATCTCAAGTCTGTGTGAAGGTCATGGATCCTGAACAAAGCATCAAGGGTACCAAGAAGACAGAGGGAAGTCCCCGGAAGCGACTGACCAAGGGAGAGGCCATTCAGACCAGTGTTTCCTCTAGTACCCCATATGCAGGTGGTGGGACAGCTGCCACCCAGGAGAGCGCCCCCCAGGAGCTCCTAGCCCCGCAGCCCTTCCCAGGCCCCTCATCAGTCCTTAGGGAAGGCTCTCAGGAGAAAACAGGCCAGCAGCCGAAGCCCCCCCGTAGGCCCTCCGTTGAGGCCTCTGTCCACATCTCACAGCTTCCGCAGCACCCTCTGACACCAGCATTCATGTCGCCTGGAAAACCAGAGCATCTCCTGGAGGGGTCCACGTGGCAGCTGGTTGACCCTATGAGACCCGGACCCTCAAGCTCCTTTGTAGCCCCTGGGCTCCATCCACAGAGCCAGCTCCTCCCTTCCCATACCTCCATCCTTCCCCATGAGGACCTGCCTGGCATCCCCAAGGTCTTTGTGCCCCGTTCCTCACAGGTCTCCCTGAAGCCTGCAGAAGAGGCACACAAGAAAGAGAGGAAACCGCAGAAGCCAGGCAAGTACATCTGCCAATACTGCAGCCGGCCCTGCGCCAAGCCTAGTGTGCTACAGAAGCACATCCGCTCGCACACAGGAGAGAGACCCTACCCCTGTGGCCCCTGTGGCTTCTCCTTCAAGACCAAGAGTAACCTCTATAAGCACAGGAAGTCCCATGCCCACCGCATCAAAGCAGGCCTGGCCTCAGGTGCAGGTGGTGAGCTATTCCCTCCAGGACTGGAGATGGAAAGGATTCCTGGGGAGGAGTTTGAGGAGCCCACTGAGGGAGAAAGCACAGACTCTGAAGAAGAAACTGGCACCACATCTGGCCCCTCCACAGAGGCCTCCCCAGACCTAAGCACCCACTCCTGTCCAGTGGTTTGTACAGCTCCGGGAGCCACAGCTCCAGCCACGAACGCTGCTCCCTGTCCCAGTCCAGCACAGCAACCTCGCTCGAGGACCCCACCCCATTTGCAGAACCTTCATCCGAGCATCCCATGAGCCACAAACCTGAAGACACCCACACAATTAAGCAGAAGCTGGCCCTTCGCCTGAGTGAGAGGAAGAAGGTGATTGACGAGCAGGCATTTCTGAGCCCGAGCAGCAAAGGCAGCACTGAGTCTGGGTACTTCTCACGCTCTGAGAGTGCTGAGCAGCAGGTCAGCCCCCCAAACACCAATGCTAAGTCCTACGCAGAGATCATTTTCGGCAAGTGTGGGCGGATTGGGCAACGGACCACCATGTTAACAGCCACCTCCACCCAACCCCTGCTGCCCCTGTCTGCTGAAGACAAGCCCAGCCTGGTGCCTTTGTCGGTACCCCGTACACAGGTGATTGAGCACATCACGAAGCTCATCACCATCAACGAGGCTGTGGTGGACACCAGTGAGATTGATAGCGTGAAGCCAAGGAGGAGCTCACTCACCAGGCGCAGCAGCATGGAGTCTCCCAAGTCTAGCCTCTATCGGGAGTCCCTGTCATCCCACAGCGAGAAGACGAAGCCGGAACAATCACTGCTGAGCTTCCAGCACCCCCCTAGCACCACCCCCCCTGTGCCTCTCCTGAGAAGCCACTCAATGCCTTCTGCCACCTGCACTATCAGCACCCCCCACCACACCTTCCGTGGTAGCTATTCCTTCGACGACCACATCACCGACTCCGAGGCCCCGAGCCGCAGCAGTCCCGTGTTTACCTCTCATCCCCGGATGCTGAAGCGCCAGCCGGCCATCGAACTACCTTTGGGAGGTGAATATAGTTCCGAGGAGCCTGGACCAAGCAGCAAAGATGCAGCCTCCAAGCCCTCAGATGAACCAGAACCCAAGGAAAGTGAATTGACCAAAAAGACCAAGAAGGGGTTGAAAATGAAAGGGGTGATCTATGAATGTACCATCTGTGGTGCTCGGTACAAGAAGAAGGATAACTACGAAGCCCATAAAAAGTACTACTGCTCGGAGCTCCAGATTACAAAGCCCCTCTCTGCAGGTGCTCATGCATCTCCTGAAGCTGAAAAGAGTCAGGCAGAGCGTGAGCCATGGTCCCAGATGATGCATTATAAACTGGGGGCCACCTTGGAACTCACTCCGCTGAGGAAGAGGAGGAAAGAGAAGAGTCTTGGGGATGAGGAAGAGCCGTCGGCCTTTGAGTTGACAAAAGGTCAGTTTGGCAGCCCTGGGCCATCTGACACTACTAGGAACCTTCCCCTGGAGTCCACCAAGTCACCAGCAGAACCATGTAAATCAGTGCCCTCCTTGGAGGGACCCACGAGCTTCCAGCTAAGGACTCCCAAGCCAGGGTCTGGGTCAGATCCAGGGAAAGAGAGGAGAACAATGTCCAAAGAAATTTCTGTCATCCAGCACACCAGCTCCTTTGAGAAATCTGACCCTCTCGAGCAGCCCAGTGGCCTAGAAGGGGAAGACAAGCCTCTGACCCAGTTCTCATCCCCACCGCCTGCCCCGCAAGGACGCTCAGCTCACTCCTTGCAGTCTAGGTTGGTCCGCCAGCCTAACATTCAGGTTCCCGAGATCCTGGTGACTGAGGAGGCAGACCGGCCAGACACAGAGCCTGAGCCACCTCCAAAGGAGCCGGAGAAGACAGAGGAGTTCCAGTGGCCTCAGCGCAGCCAGACACTTGCCCAACTCCCAGCTGAGAAGCTGCCACCCAAGAAGAAGAGACTGCGTCTGGCAGAGATGGCCCAGTCATCAGGGGAGTCCAGTTTTGAGTCATCCTTGCCTCTGTCTCGGAGCCCGAGCCAGGAAAGCAGTGTTTCTCTGAGCAGCTCCAGCCGCTCAGCCTCATTCGACAGAGATGACCATGGGAAAGCCGAGGCCCCTGGGGCCTCATTGGACATACGCTCCAAACCCTTGGGCACCCACATGCTGACTGTCCCCAGCCACCACCCGCAGGCCCGAGAGATGCGGAGGTCAGCTTCAGAGCAGAGTCCTAATGTGTCCCATTCTGTACACATGACTGAGACACGCAGCAAATCATTTGACTGTGGTAGCTTGTCCTTGTCAGGCACCTCTGCAGGAGCCCCAGCCACTCCATCGATCCCACCAGCCCCACCAGCCCCTCCAGAGAGAAGAAAATGCTTTTTGGTGAGACAGGCCTCTCTGAGCAGACCTCCAGAAACCGAGCCAGAGGCTACCCCCAAGGGAAGGCAGGACAGCGAGGAACCACAGCCCTCTTCTGGAAAACCTTCGGCCAAAAGCTTGGTGTCCCAGATCTCCTTGGCAGCCACCTCACATAGTGGGCACCCGGGAGGCAAGACCCAGGTGCAGGACAGGCCCCCACTGGGGTCCACCCCACCCTACACAGAAGCCCTGCAGGTGTTCCATGCCCCTGTCACTCAACTGCCTCTGCAAGAGAAGCCATACCTGCCCCCACCTGTCTCCCTCTTCTCCTTCCAGCACCTCTTGCAGCATGAACCAGGACAGTCTTCAGAATTCTTCTCCACACAGGCCATGGCCAGCCTTCTCTCCTCCCCTTATTCCATGCCTCCACTCTCTCCCTCCTTATTCCAAGCCCCGCCACTTCCTCTTCAACCTACTGTTCTGCACCCAGGCCAGCTCCATCTCCCCCAGCTCCTGCCTCACCCTCCCAACATCCCCTTCCGGCAGCCTCCCTCATTTCTCCCCATGCCATGCCCTGCCTCTTCAGCACTTTCTTCTGGGTTTTTCCTGCCTCTGCAATCCCAGTTTGCGCTGCAGCTCCCTGGCGATGTGGAAAGTCATCTGCCCCCAGTCAAAACCAGCCTGGCTCCGCTTGCAGCAGGACCTTCTGGCCCCTCCATCAGCACAGAGTACAGCAGTGACATCCGACTGCCTTCTGTGGCTACCCCAGCCAGCTCCTCAGCATCCACATCAGCCCCGCTGCTGGCCTTGCCTGCCTGTCCAGACACCATGGTGTCCCTGGTTGTGCCCGTCCGCATTCAGACCAACATGCCGTCCTATGGGAGTGCGATGTACACCACCCTTTCTCAAATCTTGGTCACCCAGTCCCAAGGCAGCTCAACAAGTGTGGCTCTTCCCAAGTGTGAGGAGCCCCCATCTAAAGCTATGTATGAGGCTGAACCTGGACCATCTGGCCTAAGTGAAGAGCAGGGCAAAGGTTTCCAGACTCCATACCTGAGAGTGCCTGTGACATTACCTGAAAGGAAAGACACCTCCCTGTCACCAGAGGTGTCCTGAGCCTGGAGGGGTGCTCATCCACAGCTGGAGGAAGCAAGCGTGTCCTTTCCCCAGCAGGCAGCCTTGAACTTACCATGGAAACCCAGCAACAAAAAAGGGTGAAGGAAGAGGAGGTTTCCAAGGTTGATGAGAAACTGGAGCTGGTGAAACCATGCAGTGTGGTGCTGACCAATACCGAGGACGGAAAGAGGACAGAGAAATCCCACTTGGGCGCCAGGGCCGGGGCAGGAGGGAGTCAGAAACCCTGTCCAGCCTGTCCCCAGATCCATCTGACCCAAAGGAAATTCCTCCCCTCCCTCATCCCACATTACTACATGGGTCAACCCCTGGATCAGAAGCTTTGAAGGAGTATGTCCAACCACCTGGCAAATCTTACCGAAGAGGGCTGTCCCCACTAAGCATGAAGAAAGAAGATTCAAAGGAACAACTCGATCTCCCTCCCCTGGCACCTCCCAGCTCTCTGCCTCTGTCAGAAACATCCCGCAGACCAGCCAAGTCACAAGAAGGTACGGACTCAAAGAAGGTACTGCAGTTCCCCAGCCTCCACACGACCACTAATGTCAGTTGGTGCTATTTAAACTACATTAAGCCAAATCACATCCAGCATGCAGATAGGAGGTCCTCTGTTTACGCTGGTTGGTGCATAAGTTTGTACAACCCCAACCTTCCGGGGATTTCCACTAAAGCTGCTTTGTCCCTCCTGAGGTCTAAGCAGAAGGTGAGCAAAGAGACATACACCATGGCCACAGCTCCGCATCCTGAAGCAGGAAGGCTGGTGCCATCCAGCTCCCGCAAGCCCCGCATGACAGAGGTAAGTTCAGTCTTGCTTTTCTTACTGCTGAGTTCCAAACCCCCCAATGAGCTTTTAAGGCTGCGTTGTCTTCAGGTTAAGTTCATAGAACTAGAACTGGGTGAGGAGGGCAGATTTTCTCTATGGCAGCTGTGATCAGTAACTTTACAAGGAAATATATTTATTGGGTTTCTTTGTCAGTATGTCCCTTGCATCATTGGAATACATTTCAATAAATGTATTAGTAAAGTCATCCTTCTCTTCCATGAGCTTCTACTGTAAAATCAAAATTTCAGTCTTGGCAAGGAAAAAAGTAATTCTCCAAAAGAGTTGTAAAACTTGGGTGATGAGAATGCCTAAAGCAATTTTAGAACTTTTTACCTCTCCTTTATCATATGGTTCTCCCTTGTCTTTTTAGGCTTTTCCTGCTTTGCTTACTTCCACATCTGCTATTTCTATTCTCTACTATCACTTAAAATCTTCCCATTTCCAAAGATTCTAGCATTTGACACAAACCACTCCTGAAAAAATCTTCTTTCTGTAAGTAAGATAGTGAATAGAGCTGAGCTGCAGTGGTCTCCTTCACCTGAAGGAGGCACTGTCACTGACAACCTGACCCAGATGTGCTATGTAGGCTCATATTTGCTCCTTCATTACCTCTGACCTGAGGCTACATCAGGAGCTATAAAATGAACTGATCCCCTGCAAAATCAGCAAGTTTGAACTTTGATAATTCTAATTTGCATAAACAAAAGACACTGCTCTATCCTGACAGGGCTAGCCTGAGGATTCAGATAATGATGGCATTTGTGAAATGACCAATGGTCATCTTTGTTGAGCAGCCTCACTATGCCAGGTACTGTTCTGGGTTTAGGAACCCAGTCATTGCTTGCCTTCACCTCTGAGGCAGCATTACCTATTTCACTCCATAGATAAGGGAACCAAGCGTCAGAGGCTGAGAGAGGTTAAGGACACTTGGAACATGGTTGGCAATCCCAGTCTGACTCTAAAGAGTCTATTTTCTTCTTTAAATTATTTAAGGAAAGAAAACCTTAAAAGATGATTGCAAATTTAAAGAGCTTACTAGTATGTCTTCCAACTGGTTGCTTTGACCAAATCAGGCACAGATCCCCTAAACTGAACTCATATTGTAAATTGAGGAGCAAAACTACATTCTATAACTCCCCACATATTCATACTTTCCTATTTCATCATGGAGTGAATATTGTGCATTGAATCTGTCCTTAACTCAGCTGGATATTCTTCACAAACTGCTTTCCAAATTTTTTCTTTAGATATCTTTGTCAGTCTACAGACTTTTCTGAACAAGATTTTTTTTTTTTTTTACCATAAACATCATATTGATGTGTCTCCTACTAGCTGCGGCTACTGCAAGATGCTCTTATAATTATACTCATAACTTCGGGGGCACCTACTATGCTAAACTTTACTTTCATTCTCACAACTACCGTGAAAGTTAAGATGCAAAATCACCATTTGATAGAAAAATCAAGGCACAGAGAGGCTAAGTAATTTGCACGAAACCACAAAGTAAATGGTAGAGACTGTTTTCAAAACCAGAACTCACTCTGAAGCCCTTATAAATGACCTCGGCTGCCTCTATTCCCTAATGAAGAATCGTACAGGCCACTTAAGCAAAACAAAGTGTTCATTTGGTTCAATTGGAGTTGACAATCATTTGTTTATAATGCTGCTTTCCTAAAATGAGCTAAAACCTGTAAACTTTTCCTTGGAATGTTCCTTCTGATTCAAAGACATGTTTCCTGCCAAAAGTATACCCATCTAGTTCATTGATTTAACTGCCTGGTCTACAATTTTACTTCTCTCTCTGGCCTCTGCTTGCGTATCTCTCACCATCTCCTGGTACAACCCAGCCCATCTTTGGATAATGCTTTAAGAAAGTTCTCTGTTTCCTTGAGCAGATAGTTGCCACCATGTGGCTTCTATTCTCTGTTAGTAAATTGTGAAGATATCCTTTAGTTGATCTTAGCATTTCAAAGCTTTTCCTAACCATCTTCTTGCAGGTCTGTGCCACCCTGTTACATTTGAGTTTGGTCATACATATTTGTGTGTGTGCGTGTGTGCGTGTTTGTGTGTGTAAGCCCTGGAGAAACCTGGACTTGTATAAAAGGCCACTTTGCCATCACATTCATTTCCTTAGGTTTCTCCTTCCTTTTTTGTCCTTGGGGGTCATTTTGACAACCACAGCACTGATCCTGATTATGAACAAGGATCCAGGTGCCCAGGTTTGAATCCCACCACCTCACCTACTAGCCATGTGACCTGGGATTAGTTACTTAACCTTACTGTGCCTTGGTTTCTCCATCTGTAAAATAGGGGTAATAATACTTATCTCATAGGACTAGGGAGATAATTAAATAAATTAAAATATGCAAAGTGTGCTTAGAACTGTACTTGGCACATTGACGGCCAGCAAATGTCTTTAGCTTATTCTTAGTGTTATCATTAAAAGCTAAAGTGGATCCCAGGTTTCCTACTCAATTGTAGCACTGTGTTTCCTGGTAAAGTGGTACCTTACCACTGAAACCAACCTCCTCCAGTGTGGTGCAGACATCATAGCGGTTGTGAAGGGAGTCACTGACCATTAGCCTGATAGGCCCTGGTCCCTCTGTGGATCACAAGCCAGATGGGAGTAGAAATAGCATGTTCTGGAAACCCGTGAGTACTGCTCTACTAAAGCAGCAGTCTAAATTCATGCTTGGTTTCCACTCCCTACCTCCACTCTGAAAGATTACAGAAGTTGGCCCTACAGGAGATCTTTAAGATAGGCTAAACCTACCCTCAGACACCGAGGCCCAGAGAGGTGAAGCAGTCCTTACAGGGCAGCTCGGCATGAAGTGACTACCTAATGCTGGATCTCAGATCCTTTGGTTGCCAGTCAGGTGCTTTTTCACTCAGTCCCACTGGCCCCAGTCACCCGCTTGGCACCATTGCTTCCTACACAAGAGCAGAGAATACTCACCCCAACCCCCCAGGCGATTATTGGAATAGTGGAAGATGCTGAGAAGAACAAAGTCAATGCCAGCCCTCCCCATGGAGTCCAGTCTCACTGAGCCTCAAAGCTCTACAAACAGAATGGGCTCCCAGAGAGCAGCAGCCCAAGGCCTGCACAGCCTCTCTGGACCTTGGTCAGTGTTGTCTGGCTCCGGTTATTGGTCCTAGCTCAGGAAGGCTAGGGTCCTGGAAGCCGTAACCTGTGCTCTGCTCCCAGCTCTGCCCTTAACCTTCTGGGTGGTCTTGGCTTTCTGATCTATCAGTGAGAAGTGCACCAGTCAACCTCCATAGGCAGAGTAGAGCCTTCCTTTGTTTGTTCAACATCCTTTAAGCATCTTTTCTGAGGCAGCCCTGTTTTGGGTGCTAAGGTGACTGAGGAGGGTGAGATAAGGACCTGTCTTCAGTAGCTCCAACACCAGTGTAAAAGACAAAACAAACCCCACTCCTACAGGAAGGTTAACCTGAAAAAGCAGGCCAGAATCTGAACATGGAGAGGGGCTGCGCCGGTGGGGGGTCAGCTCCTTGATCCTGTCAAATGGGGCTGATGGCATTTCTCCAGCAAGGAGTGAGGGGGGATTTGATTGCAGTACCACTCAAGACAGTGGTTTAGAACACTTCTGACCCAGAGTGCAAGTTTCACCAGCTATGGTTTTTGTCATCCCTGCGGTGGATAGGTGCACCTCCCATCGCTGGTTTCCCCGGAAGGCCCGAAAGACATAGCTAGAGTGGAGAAGGAAGAGGAGAAGCGAGGGAAGCCAGAGGAGGATGCGCCTGCCTCCAAGAGAGGGGAGCCGACGAGGGTCAAAATCTTCGAAGGAGGGTAAGATGCACACTTGGTTTTCAGTCTGTTCCTTGTGCAGTAAGAGCCCGCGCCATCTGTGTGGGGGGCACAGGTGTCTCTCAGCAGGACAGTGCTCACGGTTCCTGCAGCGCCTGTCCAAATTATGGAACTTGAAGTCCACTCCACCCCTGTGTGAAAATGCTGCCAGGGGCTCCTTGGTGGGGACATGTGATACTGGGTGTTTGCTGAGGATCTGAGGGGTCCAGGCCTTTCTCCACCCTGGATTCTCAGCTCCTGGCTGGGTTTCTCAATCCTGCAAAGGGGGTGACGGTGAGCCTCTCTGCTCCTATGTAGACTACCATGTCTTTGGTCCTGCCAGGTCATACCTAATTGCCCTGAGACTGTTTGAATGGCAGAGAGCACATTACACAGCTGCCCGTTATGACTGGCTGGGCCTCGGCTCACTGGTTAGAGAAGATTTTGAATCTTCTGGTTATTTGCCTTCTGTGCTCATTTATGGAAACCTGATGTCTACACATATCAGAACTCATCACTTTAGGGACCCTGTGGGCTCTATCTAGAAGGACACCCTTGCTTCAGATGTGCTTTGTGGAAGTTTTGTGCCAGCTGTGTTGTGTGGCCACGTGTTTGCTTCCAGGATGTGGTGTCCTGTGAGCAGGTGCCTTGGTGTCTGTCTCAGGGTCCTGTGTCTATGTCCTCTTGTGACCAGGGTGGTCCCTATCCTATACAATCCTGAGGGACAATGGTATAGAGGAAAACTGGCTTCTGGAGCAAGACAAGCCCTGTGAGTCTTGGCCAACACAGACTGTCACTGGGGGACTCTGATTCTCCAGCACCTGCAAGTGACTAACATGGGGTCAGAGTGACAGGTGTCTCAAATGGCAGGTGCAAGAGTCCTCTGGAAGGTTGGGGAAGAGGCAAAGAGTGCCATGCTCCCCAAGATACCAGTTGGTGTCCTCTGGTGGCACTGGCCAGAGGGGCTCAGGAGGAGTACTGGTTATCACAGTGATAGGGACAGGGTCAAGAGATGACAAACATCAAACAAATACCAGTAGTGGCTCCTTTGAAGTACAATGAACCAAAGGTGTTTTAAAACGCTGATCCTCTTTTTCTGCTTTGGGCCCATGGTTTTCTGTTCCTGCCGTTTGGTTAGAGCGCCCTCGTGTGTTACTGTGTCTCTGCCACTAGGTCCTTTGAAGGCTGCAGAGACTGGATTCAGGATCCATGCATCCAGTGGCTATGAATTGCCCTCTTCACTGGTTTGGGAATATCTCTGGGCTCTGAGGGCTGCATGGTGTTCACTGGTGGTAAGGAGCCTGTATCTTTGCAGCTTTGGTGTGTGTGCTTGAAGAGCCAGTGCCTCCAGAATGGACACCTGGCTCCACACAGAACCCCTAGCGCCATGTCTCTGGCTAAGCCTCCTGGACAGGACTGGCAGGATCCTCTCCCTGTCCAGCTGCCTGCTGGACATCTCTACCTTCATCTGAAAGGTGAAAGGTCACATATGAGTCCCCTTTCTCTTTCTGCAGTCCTGAACACTGTCTCCACCTTTCTATGTCCTATGCAGGTTGTCACTTAGTCACTCACTGTTTCAGATTCCCTCTTTCGAGGACCATACATAACTTGTGCCCTGGCAGTGGTTTGCTTTCTCCTGTCCAGTGTGACTATCCCCCACCTCTCCACCT